AAAAAAAAAAAAAAGACTTAGCTTTTTAACATTTATAGTACTAATTCCAACAATGCAGCCAATACTCAAAATGTTTTTGGAACCCTCTCCGGAAACCATAGAAAGGAACCAGTTGTACTCCTTTGTTCTGCGTTCACCCCCAAGCAGTGTTACCCAGTCAATCAGCCACTTTATTTACCCTTCTGGTTCCAAAGGGCTCTTTCGAAGAACTCAATCCCCCTTAATAAAGAAGGACGTGTCAACACTGATATACCATGTGGAACTGCAAGTGGGTGAAGAGGGACTGCTTTTCAGGGACAATGCTCATTCAGATTATGTATTCAGATTTATGAGAAACAAAGGCTATTATCTCAGAATCCCACCGGTAAATTAGACATAGAGAAAAATGTGACCCTCACTTTCCAGGGGCCGATGATCCAAAAGAGACAACCCTGATGCCCAGAAAAGAAATGGATACAAAGAGAGCAGATTGATACTGCCAAATCCATGGGCAGAATTTTTGTGCTTGAGGTGAAGTGATACATAAAAAATGCTCCTGCTGTAAGGCTCTACTCATGAGGCTAGGCTTGAGCTTCAAGTTATTATTTTCTACTACTGACCAGCAGGCCATGCCCTAGGGCTTATCAACACTGTACCCCAACCCAGGAAAGGCAACTTAGTCAGAGTTGGAATGGGAGTTCCACTGGCAGCCAGCTCTTTGGGCTCTCGTTTCTCTGGTGCCTCCTTACCTTGAACCCCAGCAGCGCTGACAGCTCCTGGGCTTTGCTGTGTTGTAAGATGTTCCCAGCATTCGTGACAAAGACCACAGGCACCCGCAGCTGCCCATGAGCATTCACCAGCCTGCGGAACGCTTCCAGAGCAGCAGGGATCACTCTGTGACCCCGCACCAGCACTCCATCAATGTCCAACAGGAACCCAAAAGTGGGTGGGCTCTGCACAGAAGGAAGAGAATCCCCAAAGCCTGAGTCAAGAAGCAAAGGGGAAGAAGGAAAAGACCCTCACAACAAGGGGTGCCACATTATCCCCAGGTCACCCAGAGCTTTGAACAGAAAATGAGGACATGGGATTTCTGACAGGGCAAATCCATCTATAACAAAGAATTAGTCCCTCCTTCATGTATTTTTAAGCATGTAACTATTTCGTTAAAACTATCTTCACATAATTAATATAAAAGAATTTTTTAAATGGAAAGTAGACAAATTCAAAAACATCCCAGGACTTTTAACATGACTGATCTTGGCTCTTCTTTTTCCATTCTTTTGTCACATAGACAACTACACTTTACACGTTCACTTTTTCATCTTGTTGTTTGACATTCAAATATTTTTATATGTTACAACGGCCTTCATAATCTTTTACAGTTTTATTACAACACACCGGAGTTTTAAAAAAAAACTCATTTGCTACAGATAATATCAAAAAAATGTTAAATTTCTTGCCTCCTTCCACCCAGTGCCATTTCCGCTCTTATAGATCTCCAGAAACTCTGTGTGGATAGATAGTAATAATTTTTATCTGTTAAATAACACACAAACAGTATTATATTGTACTTTCTTTACCATCTGACCTTTTTTTAGATAGTATCTCTTAGATATCTTTCCATATCAATATACAGAGCTCTTTCTAAACATCATTTCTGACTACATATTTCTGAGTGGATATTCCACTAACATATTCCTCCTATTCTGGACACTTATGTTTTCCCACATTTTTACTACTATAAATAATGCTATAAGGAACTTCTTCATGCTTACTGATTTTTCCCTTAAGTTGGATTCTTAAAAGCAGGAGTAACAAGAGAGTGCAAACATTTTAATAATACAACACCTATTGACAAACTGTTTTCCAAAAACATGTTATCAATTTACATGGCCACTGTTAACACACTTTATCCTTGCCCATACTGATTTTCACATGTATCAAAGAGTTTGTTAATTATCAAACATCTTGTTAAAGGTTTAAAAAAATGGTATCTCAGGGCACCTGGGTGGCTCAGTCGTTGGGCGTCTGCCTTCGGCTCAGGTCATGGTCCCAGGGTCCTGGGATCGAGCCCCACATCGGGCTCCCTGCTCCGCAGGAAGCCTGCCTCTCCCTCTCCCACTCCCCCTGCTTGTGTTCCCTCTCTCACTGTGTCTCTTTGTCAAATAAATAAATAAAATCTTTAAAGAGGAAAAAAATGTATCTCATTTCAATCTGCATTTCTTGGGACTTATAAAGTTGAAAACTGTCCTTTTTCTTAATTTTTTTTTTTTTTTTTAGTAATCTCTTCCCCCAACATGGGGCTCAAACTCATGACCCCAAGATCAAGAACTGCATGCTCCATTAAGCCAGCCAGGCACTCTAAACACTGTCTTTTTTTTTTTTAAAGATTTTATTTATTTATTTGTCAGAGAGAGCACAAGCAGGGGGAGTGGCAGGCAGAGGCAGAGGGAGAAGCAGGCTCCCCGCAGAGCAGGGGGAGCCTGATGTGGGACTCGATCCCAGGACACCGGGATCAGGACCCAAGCCGAAGGCAATCACTTGACCAACTGAGCCACCCAGGTGCCCTTTTTTTTTTAAAGATTTTATTATTTGACAGAGAGACAGCCAGAGAGGGAACACAAGCAGGGGGAGTGGGAGAGGGAGAAGCAAGCTCCCCGCAGAGCTGGGAGCCCAACATGGGGCTTGATCCCAGGACCCCGGGATCATGACCCGAGCCGAAGGCAGATGCTTAACGACTGAGCCACCCAGGCATCCCTAAACACTGTCCTTTTTTTAAAGAAAAAATTTTATTTATTTATTTGAGAGCAAGGAAGTGCGTGAGTGGGGGGAGGGGCAGAAGGAGAGGGAGAAGCAGGACTCCCAGGGAGCCTGATGCAAGGCTCGATCCCAGGACCCTGAGATCATGACCTGAGCTGAAGGCAGACACTTAACGGACTGAGCCACCCAGATGCCCCAAAACACCGTCCTTTTTATTAAAAAAATTCATTCCAGGGGCACATGGCCGGTTCAGTCTTGCTCAGTCAAGAGCAAGCAACTCTTGATCTTGGGGTGGTGAGTTCAAGCCCCATGTTGGGGGAAGAGATTACTTAATTAATAAAAATTTGAAAAAAAGTTTAGGGGTGCCTGGGTGGCTCAGTCAGATAAGCATCTGGCTCTTAGTTTCGCTCCGCAGTCAGTGGGGAGTCTGCTGGAGATTCTCTCTGTCCCTCTCCCTCCTTTCCCTCCCCCTGCCCTCACCCCCACTCTCTCAAATAAAAGCAGAACAGCCAGGGCCTGGTAACAACAGGATTTTTTTTTTTTTTAGAGAAAAAAGTTTAAAAATAAATACAAATAAGGCGCCTGGGTGGCTCAGTTGGTTAAGCAGCTGCCTTGGGCTCAGGTCGTGATCCCAGGGTCCTGGGATCGAGTCCCGCGTCGGGCTCCCTGCTCAGCAGGGAGCCTGCTTCTCCCTCTGCCTCTGCCTGCCTGCCGCTACCCCGCTTGTGCTCACTCTCTCTCACTATCTCCCTCTCTCTGTGTCAAATAAATAAAATGTTTAAAAATAAATAAATAAATACAAATAAAAAATTCATTCCAATTCTTATTAACATATAAGATTTTTTTCAAATTTCAAAATAATTCAACCTAACCTGTTTGCTACTTTCCTTTTGTTGGTGCCCAATAGGTCAAGCCATTGTTACTGCATACACCTACTCTATTCCTAGGGTTCTGTCTGTGATAGCAAGTGCTCCAGGCCCTGCATTTTTCAGCTGGGGTCAAAGAAAAAGCAACCAGTCTAGGAAACAATTAAACTCACGAAACTGCAGCATTTTCACAAGTGCAAATCAATTTCTGAGTACTTAAGCTCTCAGTAAATAAACAGAATTAAATAAAAGTAGTTTCTTAGAAGAGAATTTTGAGCTAGGCAATGGAAAACTTAAATACATGCCTTTATTTAACAAGTATCTATTGAGAGCCTGATCAGCACCAGACCAGACAAGCAGCCAGAAGTGGCCTCCATCTACAAAGATCAATGGGGAAGACAAACAAGCAGCCACAGGACAGTCTGCACTGAGTGCTACATTAGGAAATGAGGGGAAGGCACCCCAAGAGCCTTAATGAGGGGTACCTAACCTGCAGGAGGTGGCGAAGACTAGTCATCCTAGGTCTCATAGGCCAATTTAAGGAGTCTGAAACAGCAAAGTGACATCATATCAGACCTGCAGTGTAGAAAAATCCTGGCTGCAAAGTCAAGATTGAGTGAACTGAAGAGTCAAGTTGAAGACCAGTTGGGACCAACTACAATCTAAGACAGAGATGATGGTGGCTTTAACGGGTCTTACTAGGTAGCAGCAACAAGAATGGTAAGAAGGGGGGAGGTTATACATAGAAGCAGAACAGCCAGGACCTGGTAACAACAGGATGCAGGGCTGAGGGAGGGAGGGGCCACAGGGACCCCCATACCTTTTTTTTTTTTTGGCTTGGGACCCTGGGAGGGTGGATGCTGATATTACTCACTGACCCAAGAAACTCTAGAGGAGCAGCAGCTGGGAGGTCAGGGAGGGCAGAAGATACATCCCACTTTGGACCTGTCCGCCGTACAAGTGGAAACATCAGCACTGAACAGAAAGGTCCTGGAGATGAAAATTCAGAAGCTCTCTGCTCTTAGAGAACAGCTGAAACTTGGGAAGGGAGAGAAGAGCCCGAGAAGCACAAGCAGAGTAAGAGCAGAAGCAAGAACTGGAAGAACATTGCCATTTAAGGAAGGGCCACCTAAGAGTCACCAGCAAAATGAGGAGCAACAGTCAGTAGGAGGAGGAAAATCAAGAGGGTGTGGGGTCAAGGAAGCTGAGGGATAAGTTTCTGGAACAAGTAAACTAGGAAATGGAGTGACTGTAGAGTAATGATCCCATCTCCCCTCCGATGAACAGGGCCCTCCCCGCCAGGGAGGCAGTCTTCCAGCTCTTTCATGGAAGCTTGTGCACAGGACCTTTCAGCTTTCGACAATGGCAGCTTTGGTGTCAAGTCAGAGGTAGGAATGGGCCCCGGAAAAATAGAAGGGAAAGCAACTCAAATCAGCAAGACAGAAATTCTGACCACCAGCAAACACAACTGCCAGGGAGAAACTTGTCAAATCCCCACAAGGGAAATACCGAAACAGCGTCTCTACTCTTGGTTCCAAAGGCTGATCCTGTTGCACTGGATCTGAATAGATGGGTAGACTGTATTGAGCTCTGAGCTGGACATATAACAAAGGTATGCTTACTTAATCCTTGTACCAACCCTCTGGGGGTGGGTGTCATTATCTCCAACTGACATTACCTAGCAAAAGGGGCCTGGTTTATACATAATGCTCAATATGGATTCACTGGATAATCTGACTGGATGAGTAAGAAACCAAATTCAGAGAGAAGAACTAGTCAAAGGTGACCCGTTCACAAGTGCTCCATCCAGATGTCAGCCTTAAACTGAGCTGTGGCAAAGTCAGAGCTCATTCAGTGGCCTCCCAGGGCAGCAAGCACCTCAGAGTAAGGAAGGGATCCAAGAGGTACCAAGATAACTATCACTATCTTGGATAGTGTTGGAACATGCTGTTGCCGCACCTCCTGCCAGCCCCCAGCCATGTGAGTTTGTGTTCTTCTTCTCAGTGTGCTCATTCACCAGATGGCCCTCAAGGTTCCCTGGAGCCCCTCCCTCTTCCTCAACAAACCCCACTAGAATGGGGTTCCTAACCAGGGGCCCATGGATAGATTTCAGAGTGGCCATAAAACCCCTTAAAACTCTATGTGCATTTTTCCTGGGGAAAGGATCTATGGCTCTTTTCTGATTTTATCATTTTATTCTTCTCAAAGAGAATCACTGCACAGGTCTAGAGGGAGGAGTGGTATGATTTTCACACCCCTGGCACAGTATTTAAACTCCCGTAGGTACTCAACAAAGGCTGACTGAATGTTGAAGGACCCAAAGGATGAAAGGTTCAGCCAACCTAAGGGCGACCTTTCCCCTCAGGCACTTCCTGACCACCAAATCCCTTCCCAAGGGAAAACAGTTGGTGACTCTTAGAAGACAGGTCCCTCTGGAGGCAAGTAAGGACTATGTTGTTCTAGAGCATGGCCTGCCTTCTTTCTTGTACTACATGGACACACAGCATACTGTTCTGAAAGCTTACATGTAAAACTCATATGCCCATAATTTTGAGACACTCAGGGACATTTTAAGGACAGAATTTTAAGTTATATTAAGGGATTACTAATGTTAGGTATGACAACAGCATTGTAGTTATGTTTAAAATGTCATTTTCTTAGAGGTACATATAGAAGAATTTAGGGGTTAAGTGACAAGAAATCTGCCATTCATTTAAAAATCTTACAGCTGGAAAAAAAAGGAGGGGGAGGGGAGGGAGGCAAGCAAAGCAAGTGTGGCAAAATGTCTATAACTGGTGAATCTGGGTTCATAATGTTACTCTGTTTTTGGATTTTTTAAAACTTAGCATGGTTTTAAAAAATAAGATGTCTCAGGGCACCTGGGTGGCTCAGTCGTTAAGCGTCTGCCTTCGGCTCAGGTCATGATCCCAGGGTCCTGGGATCAAGCCCCGCATTGAGCTCCCCATTCCGCGGGAAGCCTGCTTCTCCCTCTCCCACTCCCCCTGCTGTGTTCCCTCTCTCGCTGTGTCTCTCTCTGTCAAATAAATAAATAAAATCATAAAAAAAAAAAGATGTCTCATTTGTGCTGATGGCTACAAAATTTAACCGCAGTTTTAATGGTCTTAGTGGCCATGTCCTAAATGTCACAAAATTTGCTCTCTTAGAAGTAAGAATCCACAGCCCCTGCTACTTAAAACATGAAGGTTTTCAGGACAACTTAGCAATAACCTTAAGGGTCCCTCATCTCTAACTATATAAATGAGTAATCATATACCTCCAATCTTCAGGTGAATGCACATAGAGAAATCAGGCACCCAGCAACAAGAAAGTAAAGGTGCAAGTCAACTGTAATAAATGTGCCACACTACCGCCAAGATATCAGTAATACAGGAAACTGGGGGGAGAGGGCGTATATATAGGATTTCTCTATACTTTCTCTTCAGTCTGTCTTTAACACTGCTCTAAAAAATGAAGTTTATTAATTTTTTTAAGTGAAGGTACCGAGAGAAGGAGAAAGAGACTTTTTCTCTTTTTTTTTTCATTTTTCTTTTCATTCTCTTCTGTATCTGTATTCTGATTTTTCTTCTTTATCACTTGGGTTTTTAAAAACGTCATCCTGGGTATTAAGCCAGATCTTCTAAGTAAAGTTCATATCTGTGGCAGTGATAAAATGTGTGGTTTTAAGATTAGTTTGAAGTGGGGGCACCTGGGTGGCTCAGTTGGTTAAGAAACTGCCTTTGGCTCAGGTCATGAACCCAGGATCCTGGGATCGAGTCCCACATCAGGCTCCCGGCTCAGTGGGGAGCCTACTTCTCCCTCTGACCCTCTCCCCTCTCATGCTGTTTCTCTCTCTCTCTCTCTCAAATTAAAAAATAAAAAGATTAGTTTGAAGTGAACGGACTACTAAGATGTTCCTTTGTGTTTTTGCTTCTTACTTGTTATTAGTTTGGTAGGTTTTCAACAACAGCATTAAAACTATTGTCTACTTTACTGTCTACTCCATCCACTTCCACATTTAAGAGAACTATGTGCCAGTCACTGTGCAAAGTACCCTACATATATCACAAAAAGTACCCTACAGATATTCTCACAAAAACACTGCAGAGTAAGTAATATCCTCAATACATAGATGGAGAAATTGAAGCTTAGAAAGCTAAGTCATTTGCCTTAAGTCAAACAGGACAGGCAGGATTCAGTTCTAAAGCTAGTACTCTGGAGATGAACCATCAGAGACGATGGACTCTGAAAAACAAACTGAGGGTTCTAGAGGGGAGGGTGGGCGGGAGGATGGGTTAGCCTGGTGATGGGTATTAAAGAGGGCACGTTCTGCATGGAGCACTGGGTGTTATACGCAAATAATGAATCATGGAACACTACATCAAAAACTAATGATGTAATGTATGGTGATTAACATAATAATAAAAAATAAAAAATAAATGAAGCTAGTACTCTGAAATGCTGTGCTATGCTACATCCCTTTCTTCCCTTTTCCTACTCTATCAGAAAGGCACTTGGTGGGGCACCTGGGTGGCTCAGTCGGTTAAGCATCTGCCTTCAGCTCAGGTCATGATCCCAGGGTCCTGGAATCAAGTCCCGCATCGGGCACCTTTCTCACCAGGAAGCCTACTTCTCCCTCTGCCTGCCGCTCCCCCCCTGCTTGCGCTCTCTCACTCTCTCTCTCTCTGTGACAAATAAAAAAAATCTTTAAAAAGAAAGAAAGAAAGAAAGAAAGTCACTTGGAAATATCTCAGGACCTGCAAAAATGCTAAAGTCAATACAATAGTTATAAATGACAGCAAAGTCCTTTCCACAACATATTTTCATTCCATGCTCCCAGTGTGGCCACTTTTAGCTCTGTGACACTGGTCAAGTCACTTAACTTCTTTGACTCTTAGCTGCTCCATATCCAAAATGGTAACAAGTGATAACATAGCTGTTAAGAGCTAGAACTCTAGCACCAGACTGCCCTGGATTCCAGGATTCTACCACTGACCAGCTGTATGCCCTTGAGAAAGCTGCTTAACCTCTCTGTGCTTCAGTTCCTCCATCTGTAAAATGGAATAACAGTACCTACTTCATAGAGTTGTTATGAAAAGTGTACAAATTAGTAACTGTGAAGTGTCTGGCACAAAGTAAGTGCTATGTGTTTTTAAAAATAAGTATTTAAAGTTATCAAAGGTTACTGTGAAAGCACTATAAAAACGTACAATATTATTACCTACAGAAATTGTGATCTTAGAAAACGAACTTATCCTTTAAAAAAAAAAAAAGACAAATGGCCCAGAGGAAAGTGAGGGTAACAGATTTGCCCACCTGGTTTAGAGTGCTGGCACAGTCGTCCCCCCACTGTTTGACCTTACAAAGAAAAGTACTTAAAAACTTGACTCCAAGCTTCAGCTTCCTTACTACAGGGTTAAATCTACCTCCAAAGTTGCTGAGAGAATTATCATCACTGAAGTACCTGGCACAAATTAGGGACCCTGCGCCAGTTCTCTTCCTCTCGCCCCCCAGATCTTCCATGTAACAGCTGTTCATTATGGGTAAGGCTCACAAGCGAATGGGACCAAAATAAAAAGCCCGCACAAAACCGACTTTCATCTCTGGGCTGTCCATTTATAGGTGCAGTCCATCCCGAGTCTCCAAATTTCTTTCAAAGGTAGTTGAAAATCAGGGGCGCCTGGGTGGCTCAGTCAGTTAAGCGTCTGCCTTCGGCTCAGGTCATGATCCCAGGGTCCTGGGATGGAGCGCCACATGTACTCCCTGCTCCGCGGGAAGCCTGCTTCTCCCTCTCCCACTCCCCCTGCTTCTGTTCCCTCTCTCACTGTCTCTCTCTGTCAAATAATTAAATAAAATCTTTTTTAAAAAATGTAGTTGAAAATCAAAACCGAAAGACTCTCATCCTGAAAAATCACAGAGGAAGTAAAGGAATCACACCCTGACCGGGAAAACAGGAACACAGAAACTGCCGAATAACTTTGGAGACGAAAAGGAGCGAGCGGCGAAGAAACAATCCTGGTGCGTGTTTTGGGCTTGTTTTGTTCATTCTCTAGCTGAAGTAACTTTTCATCCAGGCCGAAGGCATGACAAACCCCCTGACTGAGGGGGAGGCAGGGAGTGCTAGGGACACTCGTGCTCAGGGCAAGAACGAAGCGCACTTGAGGTCAGTGGCCTCCTCCAGGAGGAACCCGGCCCGCGGCCCCTCCCTCCCCACGGCTCCGGCCCCACCCCCAGCCCTGAGGACTTGCTCGGCAGGAACTCCGGCGTTCTCACCTGTGCGGCGTCCACAGAGTAGCCTCTCCCGGGGCAGGGGCCCAGGGGGCCCAGGAGCCCCAACGACGCGCGCGCTGCCCGCCACCAGAAGCCCGGCGCCGCGCGGACCGCCGCGAGAGAGCGGAGAACAGCCATTCAGCCTCCCGTCGCGCGCACGTGCAGACAGCGCCAGCCCGGGTCCGTGGCCCCCGCCCCCGCCGCACAGCCAATCAGCAGCCGGGGAGCGCTCGGGCCGGGCGGCGCCCGAGGCATTTCGGGAGTTGTAGTCGGGGTCTAACAGGGCTCTGAGTCGAGCAGGGCGCGGGGTCAAGCCGGGCGCTGGGGGAGGCTGGGGCCGGGGCCGGGAACCGGCCGGATGCCAAAGGTTCTTGCTCGGCGAGCCAGGGATGAGGGGTGGAGGGTGGGGCGGGTGAGGTTCCTGTTGGAGGGGAGAGAGGCAGGCAAGGTCCCGCCTCTTAGTAGACGGAGACTTCAGGTACGCAGGCCAGTGTGCACGAACTCTGTACCTGCGGACTTCCTGGAACATGCGTTTCTGACTGAAGTCGCAGCTCCCTCAACCCTCAGAGACTGTCAAGGAGAAGGAACTAATATTTGCTTGCGGGGGGGGGGACGGAGCAGCAAAGCTTTCTTTTGATGTTCTAAGTGCCCTGAACCCCAGTCAATCAAGGAATACTTGTAGGATACCAATTAGTCATTCTTGTAGTCTTTCAGTGAATACTCTCTATGGTTCTCCTTCCGGCCCGGCTCTGTGCTAACTCCTGGGTAGACTGTATACATAAATAATCCCGCAAACTCACATTTTGTAGGGAGGTTGAGACAGGACTATAACACAAGGTAGAAAATAATTGTCCCGAAAGAGGGAAAGCACAGTTGTTTCCACCGTTTGAAATGTTTAAGATGCCCCCTTTCAGACCCTTTGACCTGTCCCTGAATATAGTTATACTAAGAATGGCTGAGCCTACAATATATTTAGCACTAGGTGAGAGGAAGCAAGGTGGGGGTCAGGGATGGGCAGAGACCCTGCCAACTCAAAGATTAGTGAAACCCTTAGATCCTCAACGTTGAAGGCCAAGATCTTAATTTTGTCAGTTCACCTGCAACTGAGCAGGATCTGGCAGACTGATTCACATTAACCAGCCTACAATAGCCCAACACCTCAACCCTGCCAGGGGACATGGCTTTCCAAGATTGAAATGTCCTCAATCTCTTCCTGCTATCAAACTACCTGGAAATTGCTTTAGTAGGTAGAAGGTTTCTTGGTGTAGTGATTTTAAAATATATCCACAATTTATTTGACAATCCTCTACTAAAAAGGTAGCATTAATTCCACTCCTGTTGAGTGTGGGCTGGACTTAATAACTCACTTTTTTTTTTTTTTAAGGAGGCTCCACACCCAGCATAGAGCCAAAGTGGGGCCTGAACTCGTCCCTGAGATCAAGACCTGAGCTGAGAGGCGCCTGGGTGGCTCAGTCGTTGGGCATCTGCTTTTGGCTTGGGACATGATCCCGGGGTCCTGGGATCGAACCCCACATGGGGCTCACTGCTCAGTGGGAAGCCTGCTTCTCCCTCTCCCACTCTCCCTGCTTGTGTTCCCTCTCTCGCTGTGTCTCTCTCTGTCAAATAAATAAAATCTTTAAAAAAAATAGGGGTTTCCTTTTCCACATAAAAAGGGAACAAAGGAAATTGGCATTTTATGTCTCACACTAGGAGGCACACACACACACACACAAAAAAAATAGAGTTCGTGGGTCCCCAGAGGAAGGGCTGGAGTGCTGTGGCTGGGAGAAAGTGAGTGGGAGATGGGGAGCAGATGACAGGAAGGTGGGTGGACCAGGGTGGTGGTCGGTAAAGGGACATGGACAGAGGGACACACACACACACACACACACACACACACACACACACACACACACAGCTTTCCCCAGGCCTCACCCAGTTTTGCTGAAGGAGAATTTTGAGAAGAGGTTAGAGTTCATCTTTGTTGGGGAGTGATACTTATTCCCTTCTCCTCATGTTTTCCTGAAAATACAACTATTTTCTTTTTTTAATATTGTATTTATTTATTTATTTGAGAGAGACAGAGATAGCAAGAGAGAGCGTGAGCAAGCGGGAAGGAGGGGATGAAGCCGACGCCCCCCCCCCCCCCCCCCCCCCGCGCTGATCATTGAGGTGGATTCGGGGCTTGATCCCAGGACACTGGGATCATGACCTCAGCCAAAGGCAGGCGCTCAATCAACTGAGCCACCTAGGCGCCCCACAACTTTTTTTTTCTTAGAGAGGGAGAGCGGGAGGGAGGGGCAGAGGGAGACTGGGAAAGAGAGAATCTTAAGGAGGCTCTGCACCCAGGGCAAAGCCCAAAGCAGGGCTTGATGTCACAACCCCGGGATCATGACCTGAGCTGAAATCAAGAGTCAGATGCTTGGGGTGCCTGGGTGGTTCGGTTGTTAAGCGTCTGCCTTCGGCTCAGGTCGTGATCCCAGGGTCCTGGGATCAAGCCCCATGTCGGGCTCCCTGCTCAGCAGGAAGCCTGCTTCTCCCTCTCCCACTCCCCCTGCTTGTGTTCCCTCTTTTGCTGTGTCTCTCTGTCAAATAAATAAATAAATAAAATCTTAAAAAAAAAAAGTCAGATGCTTAACTGACTGAGCCATCCAGGAGCCCCTGAAAATGCAACTATTAACAACACTACCAGCTTCTCTCCACCTGGGACACAGGACATTTGATTTACCTGATGGGTGGTCTTGTAAGAAAGAACTAGGCACATATGGCTCTGTCCTCTCTCCTCTTTGGGAGCAAGCCCATCAATGGGACCTGGTGTTCCAGTCTGGCCCTATAGTGAGGAGGGCTGCCTTTTACCCCTGTGCCAATGATCTCTGGATTCGTGTAATTCAAGGGTAGAAAGGTAGCAAGTCCATTTTGTCTCCCAAATAAGCCATGTTCTCCAACAAGCTTTTTTTTTCTTCCAAATTTTTATTTAAATTCTAGTTAATTAACATATAGTGTAATATCAGTTTCAGGAGTAGAATTTAGTGATTCATCACTTATATATAACATCCACTGCTCATCACAACAAGTGCCCTCCTTAATACCCATCACCCATTTACCCCATCCCCCACCCACCTCCCTCCATCAATCCTCAGTTCATTCTCTATCGTTAAGAGTCCCTTATGGGGATTCCTGGGTGGCTCAGCTGGTTAAGCGGCTGCCTTCCCCTCAGGTCATGATCCCAGGGTCCTGAGATCGAGTCCCACATCAGGCTCCCTGCTCAGCAGGGAGTCTGCTTCTACCTCTGCCACTCCCCCTGCTTGAGCTCTCTCTCTCTCTCTCTGATTAAAAAAAAAAATACTAATAAGCTGAAATAAAATCTGGTTCTTTAAAAAAGGAAAAAGAGTCCCTTATGGTGGGACATCTGGCTGGCTCAGTTGGTTGAGCGTCTGCCTTCAATTCAGGTCATGATCCCAGAGTCCTGGGATCGAGTCCCGCATCAGGTTCCTTGCTCAGCCAGTAGCCTGCTTCTCCCTCTCCCTCTGCTGCTCCCCCTGCTTGTGCTCTCTCTCTGACAAATAAATAAAATCTTTTTTAAAAAAAAAGTCTCTTATGGTTTGCCTCCCCCTCTCTCCTCTTTCTTTTTCTCTTCCCACATGTTCATTGGTTTTGTTTCCTAAATTCCACATATGAGTGAAATCATATGGTATTTGTCTTTCTCTGACTGACTTATTTCGCTTAGCATAATACCCTCTAGCTCCATCCACGTCACTGCAAATGGCGAGATTTCACTCTTTTGATGACTGAGTAATATTCCATTTAAAAATAAATAAATATATATATATATATATACACACACATATATATGATACCTATACACACACACACACACATATGTATACCTCACATCTTCTTTATCCATTCATCCATCGGTGGACATTTGGGCTCTCCTCATAGTTTGGCTATTGTGGACATTGCTGCTATAAACATTGAGGTGCATGTACCCCTTCAAATCGGTATTTTTGTATCCTTTGGGTAAATACCTAGTAGTGCAATTGCCAGGTCTTAGGGTAGCTCTATTTTTAACTTTTTGAGGAACCTCCATACTGTTTTCCAGAGTGGCTTGCAGGTTCCTCAAAAAGTGTCAATGTTTAATGTAAAAAGGGTTCCCCTTTCTCCACATTCTCACTAACACCTGTTGTTTCCTGTTACAACAAGTTTTTAACAGTAATAAATCTGATATTTATTCCGTCTGTCCCATGTCTATTTTTCAACGGAGTCAGATTTAAGCAAGAAAGCAAGGAGCATTTATGGACTTATCCTTAGGGCCTCCGTCCCCACTGGCTCCAGACTAGCAACCCCTACTTGCCTTCCCAAACCCTAGCGATTAGCAGAATAACTGGCCCCCTGTGTGGTAGGGAGGCTGCAGCGCCGCTCCAGACCTCTGAGGCAAAGAATGACATCTTTTGCACCACAGTTAGAGCTCTGACTTGAGACCCGGACAACAGGGACACAGGAAGTTGAGACAGTTCACTGCATGCTGTAAATTACTGATGCTATCTCCTATCTTGAAAGCAAGTTTTTCGAGTAGGAAAGAAGGTCAGTGCTACAGACACTAGACGACAATGACAGGAGCAAAGCAAAGGCTCGAAGAGGGACCCGCAGGCTTGAAGCTTCAGAACTCACAGGGCTTCCTGCTCAGATTCACTCCTTCACGTTCTCTAGCCCACCAGTCTCCCCTCCTCAGAAAAAATCAGACAGCGGGTGTGGCAATGTCAATCGTGGGCTAAGGGTGGCAGGACCTTCAGTATGGCTGAGCCTCTGGAAGAAGAGGCACTTTCAAGGACTTGTCTGAGCTTCCCTGGTACTGTGCTGCAGCTGGGGGTGGGAGTCCTGGTCAGCAGCTGGTAACCCAGTCCCATTTGGATTATGTGACCCTAATTTGTAAGCAGGTAACATTGACAGAAAAACTTTAAACCTCCCGGGCTAAGGTACTGTGTCATTGGTCCCAGGCTAAGGTACTGTGTCACTGAGCCCACCTCCAGATCTTTGCCCTCCTGACCCCTGGCTGCAGGGGTGGAAGGGCGACTTTCTGACATCTTGTCCCAGCTGTAGAAGAAAATGAAGAACGCAGGGAGCCACTGATGAATTCTCCTCACAGCCCCGTGCTCCTGC